TACATTCACTGTGGGGAGTTGGTACACGTACATGACATTTCTTAATTCTTTTTTTTTAATCCTCTTCCCTCCTTCTCTCTCCCCGAATCTCTTGGGTCTCTCTATATATAAGGGTGGTGCCAAAAACTGTATGTATCAGGAAAAGAAAAATTTGTATAATATCTTAATACTAATTTTTTTGAGACATCTTGAGATTAATACAAGTTACCTTTGGCCTCTACAATTAATTTAATAAAAATTTTTTAAAAACTCTGAGACCATAGCTCAGGGCCAAGGATGTGGGTTCAATCCCTAATATCGGGGAAAAAATTGACCAGGACTCCTTGAAATTGTCAAGATCATCAAAGCAAGAAAATCCTGAGAAATTCACAGGCAAGAGTGACAACTATATGTAATGTGGTACCACAGATGGAATCCTGGAACAGAAAAGAGACATGGGAAGAAACTGAGGAAATCCAAACAAAGTTAATAATGTCTAAATATTGTTTCATTAATTATAGCAAATATACCACACTAATGTAAGAGGTTAACTATAGGGAAACCTGGATGCTGGGTATATGGGAATTCTCTGTGCTATCTTTTCAGTTTTTCTGTAAATCTAAAAATAAAGTCATTTCATTAAAAAAAAAAAAAAAAACGTTATCCCTTCTAGCTCAGGAGAACAAGAATAACATGAGACTGTGGGTGGTAGCCATGGGCAATACTGGCCATTGCTTAACTCCTCTTTCCCATTGCCTAGAAACTAATCAATCTGGGCTAGCACCATCAGCCTCATCTTTGACTTCTACACAAGTATCAGAGTGAAAGATCAAAAAACCCCTTGATTTGAACCTCAGATGAGGGAAATTTTCCCCAGGACCACCACCATCTCTCATCCCTCTCCCACTCCACCTCCTACTCTCTCTTCAGCATAACCGGCTGTTCCCTGTTTTCTATACCCTCTCCCCAACCTCCATTCACTGAGGAAGGACAGTGGTAGAAGTCAGATGGAAGGGTGGAGGGGGTATGAGGGAGACAGTGATCCAACATGGAGAAAAACAGTCTCAGCCCCAAATAAACAAGCATACAGATCTCCCATGGTCTGGAGCTGTCCAAGTGACCGGAAGTTCAGCAGCACATTCACTGGTCATACCTGACAAAAGAGGCCAGTACCTTCACCCTAACACTCCCATCATTTTCAAAGAGGCCTATCTTTTTCCTCACCGTCCTAAGAAAGCTGGAAATCACCCTGTAGCAAAGACAGAATTCCAACTTGAGATAAAGAATCTTGATGTGTTGTCATAGACAATGTGCACAAGTCAGAAAGGCCTGTGTTGGAAATGCCCAGTAGAGAATCCCCTCACTATATTCCTTCTATGCCTGTGTCTAGGTAAAGCTACACTATGCTGTGAATGGTGGAGGGAGGAAGGGGGGAAGCACCATATCCTTATAGATAACCCTTCCAAACATCTGTTAGGCTTGTCTCCTGAGATCTTTACTTCCTAGCCACTTGTTCTGCCACATTATAGACTGTGTCATAACCCAGAAATACTAGATCTCTCCAACAATAAATCAGAACTCAACTGTGACTTCAGCTATCTATCATTCCAACCCTCTGTCTGTTACCCCACTAGACTAGTGAAACTCAAAATATGGCCCATGGTGTTGTACTAGCCTGAGAACTGTTACAAAGATTCAAGGACAAAAGTCGAGAATAAGCATTCAGGTGCTTTTACAATTCGACCTTGATGTAACATCCAAGTGCATGATCAGCAGAATTAAACTGACCAGGTCAGATGTTAACGAATCCCCTAAGAACTGTTATGTGGAAGGAGCTACCTATTAGGAATACACAGTAGGCCCACAACTGGGTCAATGTAAGTTGAGATCTTTCATTAAACTGTTTTCCCACCTTTTCTAGCTTCACCCTTAAAGCAGGTGCTTCTTGCTCTTCCTATAACCAAATTCTAAGAAGAAATTCTTCCCCAAGAGAAGTACTTTGAAGTCCAGGCCCGCACCTCTCCCTTCTAGTTTGATGTCCTTCCCTCCCTGGATCACCAGATAAAACCTCCATGAACACTCAAATGTCTCAAAACTTCAGGTCTTCAAGTTTCTGTCATGAAACAATCTCTTATTATTATTAGGCAATGTACTCCAATGCATGACATCTGCCCTTCTCGAAATTGTATCTTCAGCCTGCATCACAGGATCTGGCATGGACGCCTAAATGGACTCCCATGAAGCTATGGGCCTGTCCCCACCTTGTTTCCATTAATCTGGGCCTAATGCAGCAGCCCCAAATCTATTGGGTGACTATGAAACACACACAACAATTTTCACCATTCAATGCCATCAGGCAAACACTGATTTACTTAGCTCCAGAGCCCACTGAAGAGCATGAGGACACCCTGATGAGTTTTGGACAGTTTCAAAAAACGCAAGTCTTTTTCTCTGCTGGAATGGGCAAATGATATATAATTTCATTAACTTTTCTGTTTAGGTCCAATTATGGGCTACTTAACTATTGTACAACTTGTAAATGAAGGTCATTAAAAATTTAGCATTTGGAAACTAAAATTGAATATAGACTTTACTAAAAGCTCAACTACAGTGTTCCACCAGAAGCCTGGCTGCTGTGGACCCTTGGCATCTGGGCAAAACCCCTGCATGTGCCCACATACCCTTATCTGGAATTCCTACTGTTTTGGGAAAAGTGGCTTTGTTGGTAGTGAATTATCAGCCTTATGTGGAGTTGGTCAAGCAGCTATTTTTGCTTTTTATTATTTTTTATATAAATTACCTTTAGGTTAGCTCTATCATTATCAATTTCACTTGTTTGGGTCATGGGGCTAGCGTTACTAGATATAGAACTATATATTCGCATTCAGATTTTTTTGGCCTATGATTTTTCCAATGACTAAGACTTCAAGACACACATTGAAGTTTAAGTGTTCCTATTGTAAAGGCAGATGTATACACAACCTACTCAACATTTGTTTGGGCAATGACATTTCATTTGGCATATGCTGTTTGTAAACTGATGCTATTTAAATTACTTATAACAAACTTAACACATGTAAAAAATACTTTTATGTTTATAGAACACTGTTTTATAATAAGAATTCTTGTGTACAAACTACAACATTCGCCTTTTCATTATCTTTAAGTCATTACTGATAGGTTTTGTTTCCCAGTTGAAAGTGGGTTAGACAGATGGGCCCAGAGTCTTTGCATATGCTAGTGTCACAGTGTCTCAAACTTCTCCATTCAGAGAAAACACCTGTGTCAATATCTACATCATTTTCAAGAAGAACATGTTTTGCCCATGTGCTCTCCATACATTTGTAAAATAACGTTGAGCCATCAGGTTTTCCCATAACCAAAGGCAAGTTCCACACAAGTACACTTTGCCTACCATCCTACCATACAAATGGTCCCCACATTTTCCAGCTTCTTTCTCATCCCAGATTCAGAGATCCTGAACCAAGATGAGCCAAGTCTAAGGCACCAATCAGTCACTCACTCCCACTCTTACCCAGAACCTGTCTAGCGAAAGTTCTTCCCCACCTCAGATGTAAGAAGGGCAATGTGCATTTGGTGAGAAGGTCTTCCTTAGTCTTTTTCCATGCTACTCCAGGAGTCAAAGCCTCTCCTGGGACTCTTCAGGGACCTTCAGAAAGGAGACCTAATCAGGTAGACCAACCTGCAGGGACCAGTTTCTCCAGGAAAGTGAAGTTGGTCTGGTAGATCCAGAGGAGAATCTAGCTTTTACCCAGAGTGAACTCTGGGAAGATGTCCCAGCCCCAGAGGGAAGACTTGGACTTCCAAGTCACCTAAACTGCTACCAGATCTCTGCCTCATCCCATTCCATCCCAACTATTCCATTCAAGGCAGAACTGGGTGAAGGCAGGTGTACAATTTTAACCAACCCTCCCTCTGCTCTCTGGCAGGACTTCTCTGTGGCATTCCATACCATAGGTCATATTTTATCCCAGGAACTGCCAGTGGTGGCTAGAGGTGAGCGTGGGTACTATATGCTGAGAGATGGGTGTGGGGAACACAACACAGGCAAGTTGCAGGGGTTTGGAGGCTTGGCTAGGACTGCTTCCAGGTGTGGTCAGCCTTCAGGAGTGGGTGCTCTCCCTGGGCAGGATTTCTGCTACCCCAGCTCTGAGAGACATGGGTTTGCTGCAAAATGAATGACAGCAGGCAGACAATGAGCAGAAGCTGCTTGGGGACATCTGTGCCACAACTCATTGCCTATGTGTTCCCCTGGGTCTGCTTAATGTGTCCCCTTGCAAAGGAACTAGCACAAAGAAACCAAGGACCAATTCAAAGTTCAAGTCCCCACCTTGCCACAACCTTGGAGTACCCTTCAGGACTGTACAGCTCAGTTTTCCCATGTGTAAAATGAGAGAGGTATAAAAGATAGACTCAAAGGCCTATTTTTAATTTTTTAATTAATTTATTTACTTATTGGTTGGTTGGTTGGTTGAGACAGGGTCTCACTATATAGTTCAGGCTGGCCTTGAACTCACTATGTATCCCAGGCTGGTCTCAAATTCTCAAGGATCCTCCTCCCTCAGCCTCCCAAATGCTGGGATTACAGGCATGTGCCACCACACCCAGCTCGAAGGCTCTTTGTGACCCTGACCCTATGTTCTGCTGAATGCATACATTCCCAGATCCAAGATCTTTGTGTTATATGTGAACTGTGCTCTACGCTCCCATGTAACTGTGTCCTGTTGCACATACATGAGGAGTCATGTGGGCCACATTGTATGTATGTGTGGGAGGAGGGGAGACCCTGGAACAATGTCCTCTCTCCAAACCTCCTCAATAGGCGGAAGCCACTGGCTTCCTCCCTTTCCTGCCTCCTGCATGCCAGCGAGACTGAGGACTGAAGGGAGGGAGGGGATAGGAAAATCAGTCCAAGTGTCCTCTGGTTTGTCCTTACTTTAACCCCCCCTAAGTGGCCCCCTACCAGAATCTTCTAGCTACACTGTCCCCAGCCATGTGGGGGCTGGCTGGGGGGCCCAGGGGCTGGGAAGCAGCATAATTTCTCCCCACCCCTCTCTCCTGCTACCCCTCCCACCTGAGCCACCTCATTTCCTCTTCCTCCCCAGCACCGAGGCACACTGATCAGCACTGGCAGTGCACTCAGACCCACAGCAAACACCAGGCCCAGCTGGTCCTGGATGGCCTGCATCGGCCTCCGGACTATGGTCAGTTTGGGGCTCCCTTTCCTGCTCCCCATTCTCTTTCTGGCTTCTGATGTTGGTAAGTCTTCCCTGAGCCCCATTCCCCATTTCCAGGCCCCAAGGTCCTGATTCCACTCCTCCTGAAGGAACCCCATCATATCATAAAGACAGACACGGGCTAGGGAATTCTTGTTTAGTGGGTGCAGAGTTTCAGTTTTATAAGATGAAAAGAGTTATGGAGATGGATGGTGGGAATATTTGCACACTATTATGGATGTATTTTACAATACTGAACTGTATGTTTACAAATGGTTGAGAGGGTAATTTCTAGGTTATGTATATTTTACCATAATACAAAAAAATTGAGAAGTACAGAGAGAAACCCTATCATCACTGCCATGATTCTGATCTACCAAAGTCTCGTGCTAGAAATCACTGCAGCCTGAGGCTAGGGGAGGGGAAGGAAGCAGCCACTGAAGGATCACTGGGAGCAGCAGAGCCTACAGGCCCTGGGACATCTTCAGTGGGTGCTCAGAGGGCCAGTGTGTGGGATTCAATTATTCACTGGAAAAAATGTTTGTTGGGGACCGGGGATTTAGCTCAGTGGCACCTCACCTGCCTTTCAAGCGCAAGGTCCTGAGTTTGATCCCTGGTACCAAAAAAAAAATGTTTATTGAGCACCAACAGCAGTCCATTAGTTGAGGGACTGGCAACCTCTAGACCTGCACAATGAGTTACAACAATAATGACTGCCAATGACTGATGTGGGGTTTAAATGAGATGATGTATGCAGAGTGCTTGGCACTGCACATGGCATGTGGCAGGAGTTTCTGCATAAGTAGCAGCTGATTCCTTCAGTCCACTGGTTGGAGGATATTACACAGAGGCTGCCTTTGAGTGGTTCATGGTCTAGTGGGGAACACAGGACATAGGTTGAAGGCTAAACAGAAATAGACTGCAAGGAGCACTGGGAAGTCAGCTTACTTTCACTTGGGTCATAGACAAAATAGAGTCAAGAAAGATTTCACCAAGAGGTTGGTAGTAGGACAATAAGTGTGAGTCTCAAAGGCATGAAGGAAAAGCTCCTATAGGGAAATTAGCTGAAGGGGAAGTGTGAGCAGCAGTGGCTCTGGAGCATGCGTGTTCCTGAGGCAAGGGGAGCCATGGGAGCAAGACAGAGTGGTTCTGAGTCTTAGCTGGATCGCTTTGGAAGTTGGGCTGGGGAAAGGGTTTGTGGCTATTGGGATGCTCCAGGTGAGTAAGGCTGAGGGCTGACCAAATGAGGGCTTGGGAGATGGCAATGAAGTCAAGAAGCTTTTAGGAAATAACGTGCAAAATTTTATGATTGGTTGGGGTAGCCAACATAAAGCTTAGTAGTATGGATTTTGGAATTAGACAACTTGGCTTTGTTAGTTACTAACTATATAACCTTGGGCAAGATACTTAACTTCTCCAAGCCTTTGTCCCCTGGTTATAAATTAGGGATAATAAACATCCACCTCTCAGGATAGTCAGGATAATAAAATGAGAGACTATCTGGCAAATGCTCATTACATAACTGACACCCAATAACCATGAATTATAGCAGTAGGAGTATGAGATGACCGTACTGTCTCAGATGGCAGGTGCTATATGCTGAGTCAGGGAGTACAGGAGAGAAACAGGTTTGGGAAAAGCTGGTGGAAATGCAGTTCTGAGCTGAAGGCCATCCGGAGTTACTGATTCAGATGTGATTATTCAAGCCAAGGAAGTGGATGAGCTTATGAGCCTACTCAAGGAAACCTGTAGAATAATTATTACCTCCTCAATAAAATAAAAGGATATCAGCTTCGAGGGAGGTCATGAGGATGCAGATCAAAAAAGGTGCTGGTACCTGGTAGGCAACCCAGAAATGCCAGCATTTAGACTTTTTTTTTTTTTTTTGGTACCGGGGATCGAACTCGGGTCCTTGCTCTTGCACAGCAAGGACTGAGAAAGAGGGGCTCTAGAGAGCATGGAATCATGAAGCTGAGGCAAGCTAGCTGTGCTGTCCCCCATCTGGCCTGGAACTGGGTCCTCCTCATCTCTGCCCACTCTGGGGCACACATTTTGTGCTCCAGTCACCTCAACTTGACAGCCCTTCGCTATACCATAACAGTTGTCATTCCAAAACCTTTACCCTGACTAAACTGTCCTTTCCCTGCCCCTGACCTCTGTCCCTCCCTCCTCTGCTCACCCAGTGCGTGCTGCCTCAGCTTTAGAAACCTTCAAGCTTACTCTGCTAGAAAGCAGCTTCCCACCCCACTCCCCTAGGCTGGCTTAGGCCTCCCTCTCTGCTCCCAGGTGTAGCACCCTACATGTGGCAGCTCTGGCCATGACTGCCTACAACTAGGCAGTGGGCACTTGGAAGGCAAAGGCCAAGACCCACCTGCATCTGCCCATCTGGGCCCCAGGCCTGCCCTCCTCTCTGGGCCAGACACGGCCAGCTTCATTTTTGCTCCAGGCCCACCTTAGAAGACACAACAAACATTTCTCGGATTTCTGCAGGGACAGGAGGGACCCCTACAAGACACTTCAGGTCTGAATGGTGGTCCTAGCCTGCAACGTCGTGGAGGAGGCAGGGAGACATTGCTCCAGGCTACCTTGGCAGAGCACTTTTAGAGAGGCATCAGGAAAGGGGCCTGCCAGGGAATACAGCAAGGAAACAGACTGGGAGCATAGATCATTCCCTCTGAAGGCTGGGCTGTAAAGGGAAGCCATCTGGCAGAAGGGAGGGGCTGTGCAGCCAGAGAAGGATTTGTGCTTTAGTTTTTAGTCTTTCAGGATCAAGAGACTTCAGAGCAAAGGGCTGGTGCAAGTGGAAAGGGACGGGGCAGGGGGGCGGGCAGGGATGAAAATACCTAATAAAATGAAGTGCCTGTGGGGCCTGTGAGACATGATAGGAAATGGAAGACCGTTAAGGCTGGGAACCCTCTGTAATAAGATCAGAGGCCTGCGACTGGGGGCTGTGGAGTTAGAGGGTTGGTTGGGTCCATGATGAAGTCACTGATGTCCCGGCCCTAGGTGCTGCTGTGGACCTGACACTGCTAGTCAACCTGCGCCTCACTGACCCCCAGCGTTTCTTTCTGACCTGCGTATCTGGAGAGGCCGGGGTGGGGAGAGGCTCTGATGCCTGGAGTCCACCCCTGCTGCTGGAAAAGGACAATAGCATAGTGCGCACCCTCTCATCCGGGCAGCCCCTGCATCTGGCACACAACGGCTCACACCAGGTCACCCTGCGAGGCTTCTGGAAGCCCTCAGACCTGGTGGGCGTGTTCTCCTGCGTGGGTGGCTCTGGAGTGAGGCGCACTCGGGTGGTCTACGTTCACAACAGCCCCGGGGGTGAGTCTGGCTCCAGGGAGGGGGCTCTCAGGAGGACAATGCCCTGGCCACTGACCCCACCCTCCACCTACAGCCCACCTGCTCCCAGACAAGGTCACACACACAGTGAACAAAGGTGACACCGCTGTGCTTTCTGCACACATTCATAAGGAGAAGCAGACAGATGTGATCTGGAAGAACAATGGTGAGTGGGGCATTTGGTTGGGCAGGTGGATCCAGTACTTCCATTGCCTGGGGATCTTCTGCTTTGAGCCAGTTATCCTGAGTCACACCTGTAACCCCTAACCAACCTCCAGGATCTCTTCTCTGTCCTGGGCCAGGTCCATGGGATGCACCTGGACCCATTTCATCTCTACCTCTATACTCAGAGGACCAGGAGCCTGTGGTCCACTACCTCCTTACTATGTTAATAACGTGTTATCTTTGACTCTTTCCTGGGAGCTAGGAGGTACTATGACATAACCCACTTGGGAAGAGAACCATAGTTCCCAAAGGGAAGAAGAGAACCGGGAACAATATGCCCAACATAGGCCCAGGAGGCCTTTCCCAAAGTCCTGTCCAGCCCAGATCCTTGATGCCAGAGACAGATATGCTGAGCCTGGGGCAGACCTCTGGCCCTCCATCCCATGCCTCCCTTTACCCTGACTCTGTCTGGGCCGGCCTGTGTGGCTCCAAAGATCCCTGCCTCAGCCCCACAACTTCGATTGACTTGCTTCCATGGGCTCCTGAGACAGGACCCTTCCCTGAAGCCCAGAAGTCTTCCCCCAAGCTCCAAGCCACCTGAACTGACAGGAGACATGGACAGAGGCAGGGAGGGATATGTCACTAGAGTTTCTGTGCAGCCTCAATAGCAGAAAGAGCAAGACTTCAGATGCCACCTGAATTGTGCCCAAAGGGGAATTGGGAAGACAGGAGCTAGACAAAGAAAGAAGGGAATTCCAGGAGAAGAAATGGACAAGAAAAGGCAGTAGGGTCTGAAATACCAGATGTTTATAGATGAGAAACAAGCAATTCAGAAATTCAGGAATGTTAGGAGCCATACAGGGTGTGGAGAGGTATGGGGCGGAAGAGCTCAACAGGGGCCAAACTGGTGAAAACAACATGCTAAGGAGTTGAGTTTTGCCTTGAACACAGCAGAGAGCTGTGGGAGGTTAAGCAGGGGAGATACCAAGGCATCTGTGTGAAACTCTCCCTTGCTGCCCAATGTAAGGCCAAGGTGGAGGCAGATTGAAAGGGGTCTTTGGGGGCTGGGGTCAGGGTTGTGGCACTGGATGTGGGGAAAAGTGGGCTGCCTTGAGATGAGGATGGGGTGGACCAAACAGCACTGAGTGACTTACTGGGTGGTTTCGTGGAACATAAAGAGTGTACTTCTCAACTTTCTGGTTGTGTACTAGCACCTGATGGGTGTCTTTCCCAGGTCAGATCACTGTGCAGGGTCACATCGGTGTGATTTGAGCCAAGAGTGGCTATACCAGTTCTCAGGTGGTGCTGAGCCCACTGACCTGTTTGTGCCCCCGCCCAGGATCCTACTTCTACACCCAGGACTGGCATGAGGCCAAGGATGGGCAGTTCCTGCTTCAGCTCTTAGATGCACAGCCATCATCCAGCGGCATCTACAGTGCCACCTACCTGGAAGCCAGCCCCCTGGGCAGCGCCTTCTTTCGGCTCATCGTGCGGGGTCAGGGGCAAAGGCACAGGCTGGGGGCGGTGTAGGAGGCTGAGAGTACTTCCCATGGGCCCCAGGATTCCCAGGGTCCCCAGAGCTACCCCAGCCTTCAGCAGCCATGGGCAGGTGGGGGAAGTTCAGCTGCTGAAGACAGCTTCCTCCAGGTTGTAGGGCTGGGCGCTGGGGGCCAGGTTGCATCAAGGAATGCCCAGGCTGCCTGCATGGCGGTGTCTGCCATGACTATGACGGCGAGTGTGTGTGCCCCCCTGGATTCACTGGTACCCGCTGTGAACAGGGTAAGGAGGGTGGAAACTAGGACCCAGGCAAAAAAGGACGCCTTCCGGGGAAAGATCCTAGAACCACGGGGATGGAGCTTGGAGGGAGAGGGTGTGGGCTTTGTCCTGGCCCCTGGCACCTGAATGGCTCATCCACACCCCTCCCCTCTAGCTTGCAGAGAGGGCCGTTTTGGACAGAGCTGCCAGGAGCAGTGTCCGGGTGCATCAGGATGTCGGGGCCTCACTTTCTGCCTCCCAGACCCCTATGGCTGTTCTTGTGGGTCTGGCTGGAGAGGAAGCCAGTGTCAGGAAGGTATGAACTAACCTGCCCTCCATGGCCATAAGCTTGGCCTGGAATCTTCACTCTGACCCTGAGTTACACACCTGACTAATGCCCCCCAGTACAGCCTGCTATACAAGCCATGCCACACCGGTGCCCTCATGGCCCTCTGACCCATCCCTTCTAACCACACCTTCTCTCTTCCCAGCCTGTGCCCCTGGCCATTTTGGAGCCGATTGCCGCCTTCAGTGCCAGTGTCAGAATGGTGGCACTTGTGATCGATTTAGCGGCTGCGTCTGCCCCTCTGGGTGGCATGGTGTGCACTGCGAGAAGTCAGGTATGAGCACCTGGGTCTCTGATCTCTGAAGACAAGTCAATCTCCACCACACAAATCTCCCTGGCTGGCCTCTCCTTTCCCTGTTGTGGCCCACATCCTGCCCTCAAGGAATACATAGCAGAATTTCTCCCCATAGTTTGACAGGTGACAGCCCAGGGTGCAAGAGATCCCATACGAGCCCCCTGAGAAGTATGAGAGAGAGTCAGGGAAGGCTTCTGGGAGGAGGTGAGATCTGAGATTGGATATGGAGGGCAAGAGAGAGAACGCTAACAGAGTGTAGGGAAAGCCCGGGAATTAAGACTCTGGCTTGGATAGCAGGGCAGTGAAGTGGGGGACTGGAGCAGTGGTCAGAAGAGATCGAATCATGACAGGCTGGGGCATGGGATTATACTTAGCAAGAGGGAATTGTGGAAGGAGTACAAGGTGGTCAGATTTGTGTTTGAGAAAAGATCTCTCACTGCTGGGAAGAGTGCAGAAGCAGGCACCTGGGGCTGGGCACCAGAAACCAATAAAGCCTGAACCAATAAAGACCTCTCACTGCTGGGAAGATTGCAGAAGCAGGCACCTGGGGCTGGGCACCAGAAACCCATAAAGCCTGTTCCGGCTGTGAGAATAGCAAAGGGCCTGCTTGCTTGCCTGTAATAGAGGATGTTAGGAAGTGTGTTGTGGGGAGATGTAGCAGGCAGACCGGCTCATCAAGGGTGCTGGGGGAATCATGTGAAACTGTCCTGATGCTCAGGCTTAAGCAACTGGAAATATGGCAGTGCCTCCACTAAGATGCAGAGTGTGGGACAAGGGCACACCGGTGATCATGGTCATGTGTGTGCCTCATGGGAGCTCCAGCATGAGTGTCCTCTCTCTCCCCAGATCGCATCCCCCAGATCCTTAATGTGGCCTCAGAACTGGAGTTCAACTTAGAGACGATGCCCCGGATCAACTGTGCAGCTGCAGGGAACCCCTTCCCAGTACGGGGTAGCATGGAGCTACGCAAGCCAGATGGTACCGTGCTTCAGGTCAGCCTCGATGACCACTAAGCCCCTGCCCCTGTCTTACCAGCTTTATGGTTGTGTCTTCAGACCTTTAGCTTCTCAGAACTTTATGCAGGCTTTACCTACTGGCCTGGCCATGGCTCAGGCCAGGACAGGCTGATTGGTGATGGCTGCCACTGGGACTCTGTCCTGCCTGCAGTCCATATGGATGCCTGTGTAGCTGCCTCATGGGTGCACGTTTTCTGTTTTCTTTGCCCTCTCCCTGTCTCCTTTAGACCACCAAGGCCATTGTGGAGGCAGACAAAACTACAGCTGAGTTCGAGGTACCCCGCTTGGCTCTTGGGGACAGTGGATTCTGGGAGTGCCGAGTGTCCACATCTGGAGGCCAAGACAGCCGGCGCTTTAAGGTCAATGTCAAAGGTCAGTGATGACCTAGGGACATGGAGGATGGATAATGAGCAGAGAAGGGACTATCTGATGCTGCCCAGACTCTGGTCCAAGAAAGAATGGCAAGGGCATCTCAGGTCACAGCCCAGCTCCAGGCAAAGAAGAGTACTTGAGGTCAACCAGCAGTATGAAGGCTAGAACACAGCTCAGTCCCATCTTAAAAAGGACATCTCATGGCACAGAAATTGGGGACACCTTCTAGCTTCATCTGATCTCCTGCCTGCCATGTATTACACACACACACACACACACACACACACACACACACACACAGTATGCCTTTAACTCTGCCTCTGGCATGCTGCTTCCTGTTTTTGAGTTAACCAGAGCAAGAACAGGTATGCACAGGGGCTTGTGAAGTTCACAGGGGACCTGCTCAACTCTGCAAAGAGATGACTCGTGCATAGGAATCTGCCAGATGAATGAGGAGGGAAGTGCTCAGTGCAGAGCAACTCCTCCCTAGACTAGTTATCCCTTTACCTTCTCAGCACCTTAAACCTGAGCAGTTCACACCCCTGCCAACCTGGGGTCCCATTTCCCTCTACTCCTGATCTTCTCTATGCAAATGTCGTCTGTTGCTTTCCTCTCTTTCACTGTTACACTGTTTCCCAAATCCTCACCATGCCCACCCTAGTAGCTCCTCCACCACCAGAAACCACCTTCAGCCTTTCTTCACTGTCCCATCCCAGGCTTTGAATCCAGACCAGGGGATTCGAATCCTACCTCTAAAATTTCTAGCTCCATCACTTTAAGCACCTTAAGCTCTTTTAGTTCTTCCCTCTATGAAATGGGGATGTTACCACTTACTAGGCAGGGCTGTTGTGCAGGCTAAACTAGGTGATGCATTAAGCTTTCAGCACGGCTGAAAGTGTCTGTCACAGCATGTATGCTCAATATATACTGGTGAGTGTTATTATTATTTAACATGGCATCTAGTCCCAAGATGTCAACTCTTCTCTGGTAGCTCCTGCATGTGATCTACAGGCAGGTCTCTCTCCTGACCCCAGTCCCATCCTGACCCAAGAACTTCATGAAGTGGGGCATTTTCTGTGGCGGTCTGGCTCTGAAGCCAGTGAGGAAGTTAACTGTGTATGATTCAGATGTGCACTTTATAGCAAGTGACTTCCTGAAAGTCAGATCCTCTACATGAAGCAAAGACACAAGAGGCTCCTCGGGATCCAAACAGTACCTTCATCTCCCTTGAGGTCTGCACCTCCTCCTGATGTGCTCATTGCTGCCTGATGCTCTTTTAGCTCACAACTCTGCATCTGCCTTAGCCAGCCAGCTGGCCTTCCTTCTTTCCTTCATCCCTTCCTTCTTTCCTTCCTAGAAAGTCAGTCTGGTAAGTATTTGGAAGAGGCAAGGGAACCTGTTAAGGCAGTCATGCAATAATCTGGGGAGAAAAGCTGAGGCCGGAAGAGGGGCAGTGACCATGGAGTTAAGAAGCCAGGCAGGACTATAAAAACTGGGGTAGAAACAAATTAATTTGAGGTGGCCTGGCCAGACAGACCCAGTTCAAACTCTCCTAGTTGTGTGTCCTTAAGTAAGTAATTCAAAGTCTCTGGGCTTCAGTTTCTTCATTCATGGCCTAGGAATGAGCCCCATCAGAAAGGTAGTTGTGAGAATTAGAGGTCATGCATATGAAGCACCAGAGGTAGAGCAGGGACAGAAAGTGGTGGCTGGTTCAGGGAAGGGCAGACAGCAGGTAACACCCAGGTTATCTCCCTGCCTTGGGTTCCAGCCCTTCTGTCATCCCACACTTCATGGATAGTGTGCCCTCCCTAACCCCCATTGGCAATGTCATTCCCTCCTTCATTTAACATCTTTTTAGACACCTGTATCCTTATTGCTGAATCCCATGCCCAGCGCTACCCCAGATCCAAAATATTCCTCCTCTCTAAACCTTGACCACCCCATTCATCACACCTTTGTCCAGAAGGTCCCCAGATCCAAACAAAGCCCAAAGGCCAAAGCACAAAGTGTCCCTCTCTTTCTGAGGACAGGATAGGCCCATGGGCAATGCCTTACCCTGAGCCTTCTGGCAGTGCCCCCAGTGCCCCTGACTGCACCTCAGCTCCTGGACAAGCAGAGCCGCCAGCTCGTGGTCTCTCCGCTGGTCTCATTCTCTGGGGATGGACCCATCTCCTCTGTCCGCCTGCACTATCGGCCCCAGGACAGCACCATGGGCTGGTCCGCCATTGTGGGTAAGTGGTGAGAGGGCTAGGATGACAGGGATGTGGGGGGAGGGGAACAGTGAAGAGATAAGGTGAGAACCAGAATGGGCGGTGGGGCTGAAGGGAGAAGGGTGGTGTTGGGAAGCAGCTGGGACTGAGTGATGTGTGTGGCACCCCCCACCCCCAGTGGACCCCAGTGAGAATGTGACATTAATGAACCTGAGACCGAAGACAGGATACACCGTCCATGTGCAGCTGAGCCGGCCAGGGGAAGGGGGAGAGGGGGCCTGGGGGCCTCCCACCCTCATGACCACAGACTGTCCTGGTGAGAGGCCAAGAGTCATCCCTTCCTATCCTCCCCGGAATCACTGACCTGTCCCCTCAGGGCTTTCGTGTCTTGTCCACCCCAGGGGCCCCCTGCCTCTCCCATTGGAGGTGGTCCCACCCTGGCCACTAGGGACCATCCTGTCCAGCCCCAAGGACTCACTGGACTGCTCTGACCCCTGACCTCTGGCCCCAGAGCCCTTGTTGCAGCCATGGCTGGAGGGCTGGCACGTGGAGGGCCCTGATCGGCTGCGAGTGAGCTGGTCCTTACCCTCAGTGCCTGGGCCACTGGTGGGTGATGGTTTCCTGCTGCGCCTATGGGACGGGGCACGGGGGCAGGAGCGGCGGGAGAATGTCTCATCCCCCCAGGCCCGCTCCACTCTCCTGACTGGACTCACGCCTGGCACCCACTACCAGCTGGATGTGCGGCTCTATCACTGCACCCTCCTGGGCCCTGCCTCACCCCCTGCACGTGTGCTCCTGCCCCCCAGCGGTATGCGCAGGACAGGGTGACAGGCTGGGGAGGAGGAGGGACAGAGGACACAGGGACACATGAGACCCAGGAGATATAGGAGGTTACAGGAGACGGGGTGTACGTGGACAGAACATAGGATAAACCGGTGGACCTCCAGGAGGACATGGGACACAGGAAACACAGGGGATACAAGGAAGTTAAAGGCCACTGGGAGCGTGTGGGTTGGCAGATGCATCACTAGGTCATGGTTCATGTGGAGAACAAGTGTCATGGTGAAGACATGGGGAACATGTCTTGGGGAACATGGGGTATGGAGGACCTGGAGAAGACTTAGGATACAAGGGGAATAAAAGGATGCAGAAGCTTGCGGGGAAAGTGGCCCGGGGATGGAGAAGAATCCAGTGGCAGGGTGTGGGGAGAGAGGTGGCATGCTGGCTGCCATTCTGGGGCCCACGGAGCAGAGGTATGTGACCCTGCAGCTACATGGCGTGGTCTAATTTGAGCCCTACCTTCCCATTCTCCTCTCTCCAGGCCCTCCAGCCCCCCGACACCTCCAGGCCCAGGCCCTCTCAGACTCTGAGATCCAGCTAACATGGCAGCGTCCAGAGGCTCCCTCTGGGCCAATATCCAAGTACATTGTTGAGGTACAGGTGGCAGGGGGCTCAGGAGACCCACTGTGGATGGACGTGGACAGGCCTGAAGAGACAAGCACTATTGTCAGTGGCCTCAATGCTAGCACACGCTACCTCTTCCGTGTTCGAGCCAGTGTTCAGGGGCTGGGCGATTGGAGCAACACAGTAGAAGAGGCCACTCTAGGCAATGGTGAGAGGGATGGCCGCTGGACTTGTGGGCCTAGGGGCTGGTCTCAGCATGTGCTTTCTCCTCCTCACCCCCTACCTTGGAGCTAAGGCATCTCAGGCCCCTACCAACAACTGACCCAGCCCTGACCTTTCTCACCTCAGGATCCTAGTCCTGGGACAGTCGTGTTGCTTCCTGTGCTGCTCCTGGCTCCTTCTTTCATACAGTCAAGTGACCTTCCTATATCCTGGTACTGCAATCTCCATCCTTTCCCTTCATGGGACCCCACAGTAGCCGCTGTGTTCCCTGACCCAGGTGTCCCCACTTCTTTGTGTCTAGGGCTGCAGAGCGAGGGCCCAGTCCAAGAGAGCCGGGCAGCTGAAGAGGGACTGGATCAGCAACTGGTCCTGGCTGTGGTGGGCTCCATCTCTGCCACCTGCCTCACCATCCTGGCTGCCCTCTTGGCTCTGGTGTGCATCCGCAGGAGCTGCCTGCATCAGAGACGCACCTTCACCTACCAGTCGGGATCGGTCAGTGACACGAATCCGCAGGGTGCATGTGCGTGGGTGGCTGTGTGTGTGTGTGTGTGTGTGTGTGTGTGTGTGTGTGTTTTCCCACCTAGATATGCACAAGTACTTGTCCACTATGTGCATGCACACATGTGTTTATGCCACAAATATGACTACACTCAACACTCCAGGGTGCAAAATATAATTTTATTTCTCTATAATTGAACTCAGCTTGGAAGCTCATTTATATTACTGGTGAGATACTTAATATTTCCAGGTGAACAGAACTCAGTTTTGTCTGTATTTCAGCAGGGCCAGTTTCAGGCTTGGATGCAGTCAGTTTGGGATTTTCTTGCCCCTCTTCACCTTCTCCTTGGGGTATTCTCAGCCTAGGAGTATGGTGAAGGGGGACATGGCCCAGGCTGTGAACATCCTATCCCACCCTCTACCCTCACAAGCCCCAGGGCTTCCTCTGGGAGACTCTGAGCCCTGTGCTAACCTGTACCCTATGGAGGGCAGCATAGTTTGGGGCCACTGCCCCAGGCACAGCTGAGCTACCCCTCCAGAATTGTGCCGGGCCAGTGCCTCCGCAGTAGCACGTGTCTCCACGCTTCCAGCTTCCCTGCCAACTTGTCTGAGTTTTCTGTTCCCCTGTAGTCCACACTCCTCTGAGGTGGGAGAGGGGACCCACCATCACCTCATCTTGTCACATCCACCTGTCCCTTCAGTCCTGTTTCCTCTGAAGTCTTCCCCACTCTTCTCACTTAAGATCTGAACTCTACCCTTGGGCCTCCAACCCTGGCCTCTTGATATTTAGAACCAAGCTTTGGCATTTCAAAAAACAAAAAGAAAAGAAAATCCTCTTTTCTCTCAAGGACTGACCCTTGTGATAGAAAGCCCAGTGTCCAAGGCTACTGTCTCTGCTGTGCCTTTAAAAAAAAAAAAATATCAATTGGCTTCTTTGTTCGGCTGTGTTGTCCTTCCCTCTGAGGTCAGTGCACACAGAAAGCCATCACTGCCACGGTGGGGGAGGGTGATAGGGACAAATGCTGAGGGAAGGCCATGAAAAAGCAGCCTTTAATATATGTGTATGCAGCCTTTAATGTATATGGCAACACATTACCGTAACATGTATCAAGACATATTCCTAGGGCCTGGGGGTATAACTTAGTGGCGGAGTGCTTGCCTAGCATACATAAAGGCCTGAGTTCCATCCTTGTCAGTGCAAAAGAAGAAAGAAAAAAAAAGATATATCCCTGCTATGTGTGCCTGCATACAGATATGTGTCCACACAAATATGTGGGCATGGATGCACGTGTGCACCCCATTGGTGTGTATCCCGTGTATATATGTGTGTGCTCCTGATGCATGTGTGTTCTTGTGCCTGGGCACCTCCAGGCCACCATGTGCATGTAAACCTCAGCATGGATGCACCTACATGTGATGCGGCAACAGAATACACATGTGCATTCTAGTGTATCCCTTCAGCTGTCCATGCTTCATGTGAATCCATGTGACCTGTGTCTTCAGCCCTTGCCCATCACCTGAGCATCAGTTCTCCTAGGAAGACCCAGCACAGAGTCCATCTTCAGTTCTCATATTGGCAGCCCCCTTGGTCCTGCTCAACTCTTTCCTTTTCCTGCCATCAACCCTTCCTAGATGGCCCACCTGACTCAGTACAGGGAACTGGGCATTCCCCTTTGTTGGGATCTTGCTGTCTTTGAACTTGGGCTGGTTTAAAAATGATGACTAGACACCAAGGGGTGGACAGGGATGATCCCTACTCCTGCTACTGTGGGGAAGAAAACCTCACTGGCTCCTAGCAGCTCAAGGCTTAGCATGTTGTACAATAAAAGAGCCTAAGGCAGGAATCCTTTCCAGAGCATCCCTTGTAACAAAACAAGCCTAGTGTGGGATTAGCACAATAATGGGAAGCTCACTGCTTCCTATCACTGGCAATTCCGATTCCTTTCTGTTTTAAATGTTAGACTACCACCTTTCCAGCATACCAATCATGACATTTAGCAACTTACCCACAAGGTCTTGTGCCTCCAGAACTCCACACACTAGACCCCCCCATGCCATAGCCTCTGCATTTCTCTTTTTGGACATCTGTCCACCCATTGACCCACCTGTGGCTCTATTGCCTGTGATTGTCTCAGTATAAGTCCTTGTCTGTAGGTCTGTCCGCAACTTTCCACCAGGGTGCCGTAGGTCCATTTGTCTAACTGCTGAACCCTCCTTTTGAATCCCCATCTCTGCCTCCTTTTGCCTCGTCTCTTGCATGGACTGTCTTCCCACTCGTCCCATCCTGTGAAGGGTGAGGAGACCATCCTGCAGTTCAGCTCAGGCACCTTGACGCTGACCCGGCGGCCAAAACCACAGCCTGAGCCCCTGAATTACCCAGTGCTGGAATGGGAGGACATCACCTTTGAAGATCTCATTGGGGAGGGGAACTTCGGCCAAGTCATCCGGGCTATGATCAAGAAGGATGGGCTCAAGATGAACGCAGCCATCAAGATGCTGAAAGGTCTCTGGGAGTGACCGCTGACCCCAGGCTGACACTTACCTCTGTCCCACAGATCCCAGACCCCACCCTGGCTCCTACCAGCATCTAAGCCCAGCCCTCCCCAGCCCATACCTTCTCTCCAGGGTTACTTCTGGCAAGAATGACATGAGATTCTTTACACAGAGTATGCCTCTGAAAATGATCATCGTGACTTTGCTGGAGAACTGGAAGTTTTGTGCAAACTGGGGCATCACCCCAATATCATCAACCTCTTGGGTGCCTGTGAGAACCGTGGTGAGCACCCACCTTGTCACTTCCTCTTCTTCTAGATCCCCATCATTGACCATATTAATGGCTTTTTGAGAACCCCAGGTCTCCTGCATGCTTCAGGCTCCCCTGCATGCTTCAGACTCCCCATCTCTTACCATCATGTATCTGTTCCCACCCCTGGTAGCCAATGTCTAAATCATGACACTGTAACACCCTCACCTCCCAGGTTACTTGTACATCGCTATCGAATATGCCCCCTATGGGAACCTGCTTGATTTTCTGCGGAAGAGCCGGGTATTAGAGACTGATCCAGCCTTTGCCCGAGAGCATGGAACAGCCTCCACCCTCAGCTCCCAGCAGCTGCTGCGCTTTGCCAGTGATGCAGCCAATGGCATGCAGTACCTGAGTGAGAAGCAGGTGTGTGTGAAAGCAACAGTGACTGGGCTGCTATCATAAGATAAATCAGCACACTGTAACTGAGTGTAGGGATTGAGGAATGGTGAAAAGGAAGACATGACCCCAGGGTCCTGGCTGAGGTGAGGGGTGTGCGTGTGCAGCAAAAAAGGAACAGAGGATGAAGATACTGGATTTGAAGTATCTGAGGGACCTCCTTGTGGAGGTATTGAGTGGACAGCTGCGCTCAGGAGAGAAGCCTGGGGCCAAGACAACAGTCTGGGAGCTGCCACTCCAAGATGGGGATGAAATGGTGAAGGAGTGGGTGAGACCCATGGGAGAGGTGAAGGTGTCTGGGAACACCCTGATTTGAGCGGAGGGAAGGAGCAGCTATAAGAGGGGATTACAAGGCTGGGGGAAGGCATTTAACAGGTAGTCAGGTTTTAAGACCTTTTGAAAGCAACAGGGCAGGAAGAGGAAAGGGCTCCTAAAGGCATCCAGGGTGCCCGTGTAGACTGGCACTGGGGCCAGACCCCTTATTGGGCACCCTCATCCTCCTCTTCTCTGACTCTGACTTCGCCTGCAGTTCATCCACAGGGACCTGGCTGCCCGAAATGTGCTAGTCGGAGAAAACCTGGCCTCCAAGATCGCAGACTTTGGCCTTTCTAGAGGGGAAGAGGTGTATGTGAAGAAGACAATGGCAAGTCTCATTTAACCCTCCTCACTAGGGCCCATGCTTGACCCTCCCCCCTAGAAGCCCAAACAGGCCCTTTCTTCACACCTCATCCTTCAAACCCATATTCTCCCAGGGGCGTCTCCCTGTGCGCTGGATGGCCATCGAATCTCTGAACTATAGCGTCTATACCACCAAGAGTGACGTGTGAGTGCAGGGGTGGGAAGGGGCAGGGATTTGGTCCACGAGATCACACAAGGCATAAGCTAGACACAGCTAGAAACATCTGGGTTGTCTGAGGCGTGACTTGAGCATCACTGGGTGTGATCCAGTGTGACTTGGGTGTGTTTTGAGTATATCTTGGAGCATCCAGCATCCATTTGGGATTTTGTTTGTGTAAGAGACGGAGGATGCCTTGGCGAGTTTGAGAATACTGTGGATAATCCCTGGGGTAGTTGGAGAGAATGCTCAAGGAGTGCTCTCACCTTCCTCTCCGGAGGGTAGGGTCATGGCCACCTGAAATCTTTTTTTGTTTTGTTTTGGTTTTTTTGGTGCCGGGGATCGAACTCAGGTCCTTGCGCTTGCGCAGCAGGCAGCGAAACCACTGAGCTAAATCCCCGGCCCATGGCCACCTGAAATCTTAACAGCACAAGACCTCCCACACTCCTCTGTGCTCCACAGCCAAAAAGATGGCCATCTTTTTGTTTTGTTTTGTTTCATTCTTTTGAGACAGGGTCTCACTCTGTAGTTCACGCTGGCCTTGCATTCACTGTGTAGTCCAGGCTGGCCTTGAACTCATGGTGATCCTCCTGCCTCAGCCTCCCGAGTCCTGGGATTACAGGCGTGCACCACCATGCCCAGCCCTACCAAGATGGCCATCTTGTCACACTTGTTCCTCTCTCTTCACCATTGTCCATCTCAGCCTGAACTTGACCTGCCCAATCGTTCAGCCTTGTCTCCTGTGCTGTCCTGCCCTGGCCCTGAGCCCTTTGACTTGCCCTTCCCTGCTCAATGTCCACCACACTGACCACCTCTCTGACCACCACACACCTACCTCCTGCTTCTGCCCCAAGATTCTGTAAATGTTCTCCCCAACTCAAACTCCCCACCCTGGCTTTAGGCCGTCTGTGTACCTGTACAGAGGGTGTTACTGCATGAGATGCAGCTGAGAACAAGAGCTCTGAAAGCAGACTGTCTGGATTTGAATCCCTGCTCTGCTAACTGCCTCTCAAGGCCTCAGTGTCTTCATCTGTAAAATGGGATAATGATAAAACCTGTATTATAGGATTGGTGTGATAATTACATGAACTAATATATATATTAGTAAAAATGTTCATTCAAGGCCTACAATAGAATTTCAGTGGGGAGGAGACAGCAGCTGGCCAGACACTTGCAGAGTAGACACATGCAGGGCCCAGGAGGGGCTGCACATCCTGGATAGGTGGGGCTAAACCACCAGACTCTGGGGACTAGAAGGTAACTAAGTGCATCCTTCTTGTTTCAGCTGGTCTTTTGGGGTCCTCCTCTGGGAGATAGTGAGCCTCGGTGAGTTCCCACCCCCTCCCCAGAGCACTCCCATCTTACCTGTGGGGCCCTGGACTGAGGGAGCCTTGTCCCCTCCTGCAGGAGGTACACCTTACTGTGGCATGACCTGCGCTGAGCTCTATGAGAAGCTGCCTCAGGGCTACCGCATGGAGCAGCCTCGAAACTGTGATGATGAAGTGTAAGTCACCTCCCCTTGAGCTCTGGAACCTCATCTCTGTGATGAGTGACCTCAGTTTCCAGCTCTGTGACCCCAGCACCCCAGCTGGCCCTGGCCCTCCTCCACCTTGTAGGTATGAGCTGATGCGTCAGTGCTGGCGGGACCGTCCCTACGAGCGGCCTCCCTTCGCCCAGATCGCACTGCAGCTGGGCCGCATGCTGGAAGCCAGGAAGGTGAGGAGGCTGGGGGGACAGGGCTATAAGATGCCACAGACCACAGCTTCTGTGTCTGCTGTCCCCGCCACACTGCCCACCCATACTCCCTCAACTGGAACAGTCACCACAGCTCATCCTGGGGCCCAGGCCCTCTCTGCAGCCCTGCTGGGTTAGACACTAGGCCCTGCTGCACTCTTCTAGGATTGCTGTGGCTTTGTCCCAACAGCAAATCCCTTCCCCAGCCCAGCCTCCAGCCCCAGGCTGCTTGCCTGTCTCTCAGTGGAGACCATTAGCCCATTCTGACCTGGAACACTTTGCCTCACTTTGCACAGAACAAGAGCAGAATGCATGAATGATCACTAGCCAAGGATGGATGGTGAATGAATGATACAGAGAAAGTCTTGAGCAAAGGAGAATTACCAAGTGGGGGCCGGGGATTTAGCTCAGTGGTTCCGCCACCTGCCTGGAAACCGCAAGGTCCCAAGTTTGATCCCCGGTACTTAAAAAAAAAAAGGAATTGCTGAGTGGGTGATACAATAATCATATGAGTAAATACATAAGTCAATAACTGAATCTAATAACCATGTGGACAAGTGAATTATCAAATAAATAGAAATGAAGAAATATATCAAAATCAGTAAATATGGAAACACCTTTTCCTGAATTAATGATTAACTATCTGAAGGAAGGCCTGATCAAATAAACATATATATGAGTGAATCATCAACAGTAGCCTTATGAATGGATGAATAAGTGAATGAATGAATGAATAAGCAAACAGTTTCTTGGATGAGTGTGTGAAAAAGCCCCCACCTGACAACTGTATCTAGGGCCTCAGAGCTGTGGTCTGATACCCTCACTGCTCTGAGCTGGTAAGAACCACCCTGCCCCCCACTAAAGGTTACTCTGTCCCCAGGCCTATGTAAACATGTCGCTGTTTGAGAACTTCACCTACGCAGGCATTGATGCCACAGCTGAAGAGGCCTGAGCTGCCATCCCACAAGAACCTGGCTCTGCTGGCCAGAGCAGATGTTTCCAGTCATGACTTCTGATCCTTCTACCCTCTGACCCACACTGTCTCAAGGATTTTTTTTTTTAATTTAAGGGGGAATATTGGGGATCCAGGAAAGGGGAGGGCTTAGGGGAACCGGGACCCACATGCAAGCCCCTACTTCTGCTCCTCCACATGCACACCACTAACACGCCCTGTTCAGTTCCTCCCCATTCCCTGCCTTGTGAATAAATAAATAAATGCTCTAAGAAGCTCCGTCCAATGTCTGTCTTTTACTGCCGGTCAACCTGGGGGAAAAGTTAAACACAAGAGAGAGAAACTGGACTTGCCAGGTAAAGAAACACTGCCTAAGGCCCAAGCCCTCTGTGGAGTTGCCTCTCCCGTGAAGGGAGGTGTCCTGGAGAACCTATCTGACATGTAGCACTAGTCCTCAACTCTGTGCCGGTCACAAGTCCAGTTTACCCCTGGTCCCCTCCCTGCTCTCCAGCATCCTCACCAGCATTTCCCCTTGTATCTCTGAGTAGCCTCCAGCCTAGGAGTCTTTACTGTGTCCAAACACTTTCCAACTCAGGATTGGATAGAGCCCAGCCTCTGCTCAAACTGACATACCAAACAGATTCTGGCCTATCTGGAGTTCCTCGTACCTCTATCATTTTCCTTATGCCTCTAGGCAATCATTCCCAGCTTGGTAGCCACTTTACTGCCCAGCTGGTGGGACCAGAGAAGGAAGGCAGAGGCTGGTCCCAACTTCAGCCAGTCATGGCCTTTGCTTCCTCTGGGTCTCAGTACCCTGGGAGGTGATCCTCTCCTGGGCTCTTGCTCTCCATCCTGAAAGTCGGTTCTGTACCACCCCACTCTGTGCGGCCTCTGGGCTTGCTTGCGAACTCTTTGGATTACTCAAGGCTGGCCTCAGCTTTCTCTCTCACTGGTCTTTAGGAAACAAGACTAGGGTTTCACATATTTTTTTTCAGTGAATCAGATGAAATCAAAGAAGGCATAACAGTATGGCACTATGATTAAAAGCACGGATCCTAGAATCATACAGACCTGTGTTAAAGTCCCTTCTATACCACTTACTATCTGTGTAGCCTCGGTCAAGTCACTTAACCTCTCTGAGCTTCCATTTTCTCCTCTGAATAATGAGGTTAAACATAGCTACCTCGTTGTTGGTTTAAATGAGATCTCACAGGCACATTTTCTACAGCACAGGGTCTGATATCTAATAAGTGCTCAGTAAGTGTCAGCTGACGGCATTATATACAAATGCAGGAAATTTGGCAAGTATTAGATCTCAGTTGAACAGAGTTGAATGATTGGAGCATAGGGATGAAGTCAGGAGGAAAAAAACAGCTGGAATAAATGGAAGTACAATGGAGAACATGGAATTTGCTAGAATGAAACTTCATTTCAGATACACATTCATTGCTGGAGTGTGGTCCCAGATGTGAGGATTAAAAAACTGCTCTGTGGAATGGAAGACATATAAGCAACAAAATATGGTGTGTGCTATAAGAAAGGGAGTTGACCTGGGGAACACTTGAACAGAAGTTAGAGTCAGGAAAGCTTTTCCAAAGTGATTTTTTTTTTTGTACCAGGGATCAAACTTGAGACCTTGTGCTTTCGAGGTAGGCGGTGGAACCACTGAGCTAAATCCCTGGCCCCAAAGTGATATTTTAATCTTGGCCATAGAAAGGAAGCAGAAGTTCACCAGTGGAAGAGACTCTGGCACCAGAAATGGCAACTATAACGTGGTTGTTCCAGAGCTGCAAATGGTTGTATGTGGCTGCAGCAAAAGGCAAATATAGCTCTGTGAGTTGTGAACCCAGATATGCCAGGCTGTGCTGGGCCTTAGAGGCACCTTAAGGAGATAGATCAATATCAATATCGATACAGATACAGATACAGATTTTGTTTTTTCAGTACTGGGGCTTGAACCCAGGGCCTTCACACTGAGGTATATCCCATCTCAACCCTTTTTATTTTTTGAGACAGGGTCTTGCTAAGTTGTCCAGGCTGGCCTCACACTTGTGATCCTCCTGCCTCAGCTTCCCTGAGTCCTGGGATTACAGGCATGAGCCACTGCACCTGCCTTATGGGTTTTCATCCAGAAACAGAGAGCAGCCACAGAAGAGCTGTAAGCAGGATGTGCCACAATCAGATTTGCATTTTTAATAAAACACTCTGGATACCCTGTGGAGAATGGCTTATATAGGAAAAAGAGTAAAGGTAAGGCATATACCTATAAATTAGATACCTTTGATGAAATGTACGAATTCCTAGAAAGACATAAACTACCAAAACTTACTCAAGAAAGATAATCTAAGGGAAAAAAACAAGAAAACAAAAACAAATAAAAAAGATAGGCAATCTAAATAGATTTACAACAAGTAAAGAGATTAAATTAGCAATTAGCAATCAAGAAATTACCTACAGGGTGTAGCCCAGTGGTGGACCCCCTGCTTACCATGTATTAGGCCCTAGAGTCAATCCCCAGTACTATCAAAAGTGAGGAGGGGAAGAAAGATATAAATAAATGGAAAAGTCTCGCATGTTCATGAATTGGAAGACTTAAATACAGATAATACTTCCCAAATTGATCTATAGATTCAATACAGTCCCTATCAAAATCCCAGTGGGCTTCTCTGTAGACAATGACAAACTGATTCTAACGTTCATATGAGGCCAGGTGTGGTGCACACATCTCCAATTCCAGCACTGGGGAGGCTGAGGGAGGAGGATCGCTGTGAGTTTGAGGCCAGCTTGGACTACACAGCAAGACCCTGTCTCAGAAGAACAAAAAACAAAAATAAATAAATAAAATAAAGTCCAGATGAAATTGCAAGGAACCCAGAATAGCCAAAACTATCTTGGAAAAGAGGAACCAAGGCTCACATTTGCAGATTTTAAAACTTTTTTCAAACCAATGAAAATCAAGACCGTGTGGTACTGGCATAAGGATAGACAAGGAATAGAATTGAAAGTCCAGAACTAAACCTACATGGCATTGGTCAGTTGGATTTCAACAAACCCATTCAATAAAGAAAGTCTCTTCAATAAATGGTACCAGCACAAGTGGATAGCCCCATGCGAAGAATCAAATGATTACCAATTAAAAATTAACTCAAAAAGGAACAAAGATCAAAATACAAGAGTCAAGACTATAAACCTCTTAGAAGAAAACATAGGGGTGCCAGACGTGGTGTTGTACACTCATAATTCCAGCAGGGAGGCTGAGGCAGGAGGATAGCCTCAAATTCGAGGTCAGCTGGGCCACATAGAGAGCTCAAGGCCAGCCTGAGTTACATAGTGAGGCCCTTTCAAAAAACCAAAAGAAAGAAAGATAAATTCAACCATCAAAACTGAAAACTTCTGTGCATCAAAGGACACTATCAAGAAGATAAGAAGACAACCACTGAATGCGAGAAAATACAAATCATATATCTTACAGAAGATTTGTATCTAGAATATATAAGGAAGTATTATCACTGAATAATAAAAAGGCAGATAACCCAATTATTAAAAATGGGAAAAGACCTAAATAGACATTCCTCCGAGGAAGATACACACCAGGAGAGACGCGTGCGTGGCGGGCGGCCGTTGGCTGGAGGTGGTTGCGCGGTTGCGCGGTTGCTGCGCTGTGTGTGAGGTCTTCAGGCGCTGGCAAATCGGGCCCAGGATGTAGAGCGGCTGTGCGGGACGGTGAGGCTGTGCGGGACCGTGCGCCTGACGCGAGCTCGGGTTGGGTAGAGAGTAGGGGGCGGTAGTCAGGGGTGGTGGGAGAAGGAGGCGGGGAATCACTTATAAATGGCGCCCAAGCAGGACCCGAAGCCCAAGTCCCAGGAGGCTGAACGAGTATTGTGCTTTCATGGGCCTCTTCTTTATGAAGCAAAGTGTGTAAAGGTTGCCATAAAGGACAAACAAGTAAAATACTTTATACATTACAGTGGCTGGAATAAAAAAAGTGCTGTGAGGCCCAGGCGCTCTGAAAACACTTTGAAGACACATGAGGATATTGTAGCCCTTTTTCCTGTTCCTGAAGGAGCTCCCTCAGTACACCACCCTCTCCTGACCTCTAGTTGGGACGAATGGGTTCCAGAAAACAGAGTACTCAAATATGTGGACACCAATCTGCAGAAACAGCGAGAACTTCAGAAAGCCAATCAGGAGCAATATGCGGAGGGAAAGATGAGAGGGGCTGCTCCAGGAAAGAAGACATCTGGTCTGCAACAGAAAACTGTTGAAGTGAAAACAAAAAAGAACAAACAAAAAACCCCTGGTAATGGAGATGGTGGCAGTACCAGTGAGACATTTCAGCCTCCTCCTCAGAAGAGGGCCCGGGTAGATCTACTGTTGAAAGTGAAGAAACATTTATGAACAGAGGTGAAGTTAAAGTAAAGATCCCTGAAGAGTTAAAACCGTGGCTTGTTGATGACTGGCACTTAATTCCCAGACAGAAACAGCTCTTACCTTCCTGCCAGGAAGAATGTGGATTCCATTCTAGAGGACTATGCAAATTATAAGAAATCTCAAGGAAACATGGATAATAAGGAGTATGCTGTTAATGAGGTTGCAGCAGGGTTAAAAGAATACTTCAATATGATGCTGGGCACTGAGCTCCTCTGCAAAGCTGAGAGACCACAGTACGCTGAGATCCTTACTGATCACCCTGATGCACCCATGTCACATCAGGTGTACGGAGTACCACATCTACTGAGATTATTTGTATGAATTGGAGCTATGCTGGCCCACACACCTCTGGATGAGAAGAGCCTTGCTTTACTACTGAATTATCTTCATAATTTCCTCAAGTATCTGGCAAAGAATTCAGCAACTTTGTTTAGTGCCAGTGCTTATGAAGCGGCCCCTCCTGAGTACCATCGGAAAGCAGTGTGAGGTGCTCTCACCCATGTCTGGATCTCTGTCAACATGTTTTTGTTCCTAGTCCTTCTCTTGTACAAATGATGTACTTTGAAGATGTTAGTATATAACAGAGTTGATGTTTATTTTGATTTTAAACAGAGAAAATAAAAGGGGTTGCAGCTCCTTTTTTCTTTTTTCTTTTCATTTCAAAGTTGCTACCAGTGTATTCAATGATGGACAACAGAGACATGGTGTAGTGTTTTATTGCCTAGTTGACAAAGCTCCTTTTGAATGCTGGTGGTTCTATTCCTTTGACACTATACACTTTTATAATACATGTTAATGCTATATGACAAAATGTTCTGATTCCTAGTGCCAAAGGTCCAATTCAGTGT